AGAATGTTGGCTTACTTCGGCGAGTCTTTGGTCGGTTTGAATCATCACTATTCCCTCGTTTGCTTTCAGCGTACATTCGACCCTACACAGAGTACGCCATCCAAGCTTGGAGTCCATGGTTGCAACGTGATCGCAAGAAGTTTGAGCAGCCACAAAGGATGACCACCAAGATGGTCGGGGGATTGCATTGAAATATGAGGACAGATTACGATCAGTGGGACTATATTCTGCTCAGTACCGCCGAACTCGGGGAGACTAGATATTGAATAGCAAATACTGCAGAACCTAAACCATATGTGTCGATCGCTGCTCATGTTATCGAAAAATGTATACCTAAGGGGACATCGTTTCAAACTAATGATTCCCAAGTGTCGACTGGATTGCGGGCGCCAGTCTTTTGCTGTCAGACTATGCAGATTTTGGAACACCCTTCCATCTCATGTCGTTTGTGCACCCACTATTAAATCTTTCAAGCAGAGACTCGACGAAACCTTGACACACCTCACATACGTACACCACTAAAAGCAAACGGAAATTCATTCTCTATTATCTCCTACCCAGAACTCTATGTGACTCCTTTTTCGATGTGTAACGATTCATCTATGTGAATATCCTATGGGACAAGAGAAGCACCAGCTTGTAAGTTATTCCCATAATAAAACTTTGACGTTGACTTTGTACACGCCATACGCACCGGTCTCACTCTGATCCGGGCACCCAAGTTTGAATCAAACTTTGACTCCAATGCAGTTAGAAGTGTGATGTTCCGGAGACAGTCTAGTGCACGTGATTCACACAGTCAATCAATACTGTACAGGTCAATTCTGGACAATGGAGGTAGGACTAGCTGCATAAACTGCTTTTAGGTACCAAAGTCTTGAGTCAACTGCTTAATTCCACCGTGGTTTCCGTTATCACTGTACAATTGGGATTTTCAACACCCTCGTGTGTTTTTTGTTGAACAACTTAGTGCACAGTGTGTGAACTGTGTGCGCTGTGCTCCCACTTGGACTGTTCATTACGCGTGGCATTTAACGGGACAAACCAACTATCACCCTCTGTTTCACAAACCGCGACCTGGCTTCATCACTGGTCGAGTGCTGTACACTGTCTGATCCGTTTATGGAACTTGGGCAGATGACTCATTTCCTCATTGCTAATTCACGGCCAAATAGAGAAAGTATATTATGTTTACAGTTATCTCTACTTCGTGATGTGTTCCAAAACTCTTGGAGCGATGGATCCACACCCTATTTTCTATTTTTCTGGTCAAATAATCCGAAATTTTTGTTCGGTTTTAAAGAATCATTTTCGTGGGACAAGTCGAATTTTCTCAAAATAAAAGTTTGTGAACCACATTTGTTGTTTTTATTGTGCATTGTTTTTAGTCAAGTATCTGTTCTGGACCCTGTTTCGATGTGCAATGCATTGATTCTACACTGCGATAGTTAAGGAGTCGTAAAATGTACAGTAATGCATCAAGACAGTTGAAACTAATGCACAAAGTGTGATACCCTCACTAAACTCGTACACATTGGTTGTAGTCTATCGCATATATTCCAAATGCGAACTAATCAGCTATCCGGTGGTTGAGTGTGCAGTTTGATTTTATTCTGCTCGTGAGATCCAGGGTTCATGATGACCAGTTACGTTGATGAATTCGGGCAATATTGATTTGGCCCAATCGGGTTCTACGCTGTTTAATACTTCCGAGATTTGAACTACACGTTTCATGTATACCACACATTCATTGAATAATGAAATCAAATTAATCATTACAATAATTCTTTATTCCCTAGTTCACCAATCAATTATTTATCGTCTCCACTTCCCTTTTCCGTAAACTGTTTCTTCCCTTCTAAACTTGTATCCAACGCACGCCTCCTCTTTCGCTGTTTGTCCGATCAGGCTGCCAGTCCGGCGGTGACGGAATTGGAACTTATCATGACCGACTGGGTTGCCAAATTGCTCGATCTACCCGAAGAATTCACCCACGCCAGTGGCAAAGGTGGTGGAGTAATTCAAGTACGTCCAACTCAGCCCGCCTCTCATTACGCCTCGCACTCACACTGATTGCATCTTAGTTTCACAGTGCCATGGATGATCCGGTTATGAACGGTTACGAACATGTTTTGTCAATCATGGTGGCCTGCTATCAAATCAAAGTGTCTCGTTGTCAGTTCAAACTATCCCAGTATCAACTTAGCTTGTCGCGGTATTCAGAAGAGATTTATGTAAAAGCTTTGTTGTATCGTTCATCTGCTTTTCAGATATTAAACCGACACCTAAATTGCACAACCCAGTCCGATGATCTCTCAAGTTTTGGGGACCTAAAACCCCTAGTTATGCTAGTACGTAAGAGCTAGAACGGTATTGTTTTTTGGGTAGAGTCAGTCGGAACCTTGGAATGCACATGGTGTTTCGCAATTGACCAATGAAAGCCTTTTGATTTGAGAAGCATTGTAATAATAGTAATAATAATAAATCAGGACAGAAGCCAGTTAGGCTGGGTCTACTTGTCGCGACGTGGAGAGCATGCGAGTTAATGCATGACCAGTGAGACGAATCAAAAAGAAGCAGTAGCGGTTAAAAGCGTTATCAAAAAGTGCACCCCGCGGATGCAACGATCAAGTTGGTCTGTTGACAATAAAATCACATCAAATACATCATGTGTGAACTTAGTTTGAGCCAAAAGAAAAAGTGGGCTGTTTGACATCATTAGCAATTAGTTCGAGAAAACCGAACAGCTTCCGAGCACGATTGCGCAATATTAATTTGAAACGAGGGCCTATTCACTCTGCCAATGTAGCAACGCAAATTCAAATGAATTGGTAAATGTCTTGTGATGCGTTGGATCCAGTGAAATCATTCCAGTGTTTTCAGAAGTGCAATCCTTTGACGATCATTCGACTGCGTTTCATGCTTCATGTCAGGTTATTTCATTTAACTGAATAACGGTTGAAGAACAGTAATAATGTGTCTTGCTTTTCCTCAACGGTCTGCACTGGCTCCATTTTACTCCTCAACTTCGACAGATGGGAGGTGATATAGTCCAGGAATCCGATTTTTACTCTTCCGTTTGGTTTATCGTGGAGATTCTTAGTTCCCCGCTAGAGTAAGATTCTGACTAATCCGCTTTTCTGGTTCACCGAGGCGAGTATTGTGAGCATTGTAAAAATCAGCCTCAATGGCGGTAGATTTTATGTTACCAGATTCCATCCGGACGTCTGATCATGAGGATTTATGAAAAAGCAACATATGCATAACATTCTGCTTGATGAGATACAGAAAAGGTGGAACTGGAGGAGAATACTAACAAACGCATTCAACTGTTTCCTTTCTATAAAAATCACCTTGTCGTCGTCTTCACTAGTGTAACTTTCACATTCAACTCACAGTTACTTGAGAATCATGTTGTGGGATAATGGAGATTGATTTGAACTAAACATCACGCAGAGTTCATCCTCAAGAGCAATCCTTGGATCTGACGGTCGACCATGCACTCGGAGGCTCTCATCAAAGTTCATCAATGGTACATATCCATCGTCCGGCCTTTAAACTCCGGACCCATTGCATCTAATGCGTTAATGCTATCCCTGTGCCGACCAGCTCATACCAGGGCTGAACAGAATGACCAAATTATGTTGTTATTGTTGTTGTTGTTTGTTTGTTCAAGTGTTGTCTTCAGTGATAGTGAGCCAGATTGGAGTTCAAAACCCGGAAGGTTCGGTGGACATGCGTTATCGTTCAACTCTCTAATAGGAGCAAGATGCCTAATTCACATCGGGAGTTTAAATATGAGAATGGCCAGACACAGGGCTGCCGGATACGCGTATGTGACGAGCGGCAAAAAATCGCCAAACCGATCGTGTGCTTCCAGGGAAATTTTGTCAAGTCATTCACAGACTACTCATCATAAACCCACTGTAAATTGACCCTAGCATTCAGTTGGCTCTGGTTAGACGTATATAACCCAAAAGACTCAATACAGAATCATCGCAATGATTCTTTCAGGTTTGTTCATCTCGAATGAACTCCCCGAGCTGCAAGTGAGATTTATGTTGCCTAGCGAGAAATTGTATTATTAGACAGGCCAAGGATAAACGATCGATAATAGTCTGGTGCGAGGGAGAGGGATGGGCTCTTTCTGTCTCTGGTTTGTATCAACCGTGGTGGTGATTCTACACATCATCACATGAATGATGGATGGAGTAGAATCTTTTTACCACTACACAGGTGTATGGGTAAAACAAAATGATGGTTAACTTTCAATAGAATCCACATTTTTCAGATCAAACAAACGTTTGGGTATGCATGAACATGCCAATTTACTTCTACGAGGTAGTCGACGGGTTGCCTTGGACACAGGGTCAAAACATATGCTTCCGGTAGTAGCTCACAAAAAAGCTGACCAGCACCCACAAGCAAAAACGGTCAGTGTTTTTGAGGGTTCGGATTTTCACTTTGAACTTCTCCCCTGTCTGAAAGGGATTTACAAACCTTTGTGTGTGTGTGTGTCTGTAATTGTGGTGCACGCTACATAGAAGGCCTCGTTGTAATCCATAATCTCACTATGTTTTCACTCTCTGTTGAACAGTGCTCGGCCAGTGATTGTATGCTCGTCTGTATGTTGGCCGCCCGACATCATGCCATTCAACGACACAAACACGTGTTCCAAGAGAAAGGTGATCCGAACCCGGAAAATGCGGTACTGTCTCGTCTGGTGGCCTACGGCTCTAATCTGGTACGTTTTCACTGTGCGTCTTCTTCAGTGAGCTCCTCGTTAGAATGAATGGAAAACTGCTCCTAGTACATTATTTTTCGTGCTAAAATACGATGCGGCTAGACCAAGGTTTTATTGATTCATTCGTCAAAGGGAATCTGCATGTGCTAATCCCTACCTTGCAATTCCAGCCTGGTTCTATTCTCGGTGAATCCCATAGGTTGATTCTAACTAGATTTCTCCTCTGTTTGGGTCTTAGTCAATGATTCTGAGAAAGGCAAATGCTTTTCTATTACTTTTAATTTCCCAGGAAAAATGAATTTGAAATCCACACGTGCCAGACGGTAATAATTGTAAACCATGGCATCTAATCTGTCCGTCCGGATTTTTGTCTTACTCCCAAATTTGGTTACTCGGAAAACCCGTAGACGCACAACGTAAAATCACTGCAATATACAAACGGTTTTTGGAACAGCTCTGCGGATTGTTCCCAATACTATTAAGTCGATGCGCACAAAAGCGAATGCCCCCACCGATTTTTTCTACTGTACAGGTGTTGACCAAACTCGTGCAACATCACCCTCATTTTGAAAACCCGTTTCAGCTTGCAATAGCATACTTATATATTGATGGTTATGGGTACAATGTATTTATTCCTGACTTTGTCTCCAACATCTAAGTTATAAGTTCATTTCTATCACCATTTGAATGTGCGCGACCTTGAGGGTCGCTATAAAGTTTGCAGTAGTTCGAAAGTTACTGCTCTGATTTAGAAAATATTTTGGGCAAAGTTTAATGGGTGTTCATTCTTTTTAATAGATGATTCGTGTTTTACGAGAGTTTCTATAAGGTTGAGCACACGTATTCTAAATTTCTATTCTCTTTTCATTCAGTGCACAGTAAATAAGCAAATTATTGAAAATATTCTAACTTTAATAAATTGTTAAATTATTAGGCTACAAACTACTCACGCATTATCTCCAATACTGGAAGAAC